GCCTCTTTTAAATTCTCAACCTACCAGGAGTGCTGTTGCACTGAACATTCTTAATGTGCACAGAGCAGTGGGTTAGCTCAGCACAGAGCAGCAGGTTAGCCTAGCACATAGCGTGCCTTGTGGACTTCAGTCCAGTGTGCAGGCACCAGGGTCCATGTGCACCTGGGGAGAGGAACTGGGACTGTTTATTTAGGACTCTAGGAAATAGACTGGGCTAACTTCATGGTCCCTAGGGTAATCAACCAGAGCTAGATGCACAAGCACTTTATTCTGGGGCTTGCTGTTCAGGCACTTGGGAGATGACTGGAGCTAGCCTCACAGGCCCTTGGGAGATGGCCAGGGGTACTCGGGAAGTGGCTGTGACTTGAGGCTGCTGGTTCTCAACCTTCTGTGGTGGTGTCAGATTCGCAGGTGCTGGCAGATGTTCAAGCCCTGGTAGATGAGAGCACCTACACCCCTCAAGACCCCCGGGAGCTCTGTGGACGCATACTCACCACGTGCTACATGGCCAGTGAGAACTCCTCCCAGGAGACTCAAAGCAGGGCCACTGAGCTGGCTGGGCAGATTGGAAGGTAGGATCTGTCCTGAGCTGAGCCTCGGGTAGGTGAGGTGACAGAGGTTCAGAGCTGGGGACAGACCGCCCGTGGTTGCATTCTCTTAATGCACATGTGGCCACCATGCGGGATTCTGCTACAGGCCTAAGCCAGAATTTAAGGAAACTACACACTACACAGCCCCCTCAGCATCCCAGTCCTGGAGCGTACACCTTTGGGCACACGCATGCATGCACACATACAAGCACCACCCAGCCGTGTACCCAGGTGCAGCTGCAGGTCAGGAGTGCCTATCACCAGGACCCTGAGGATGTGGCCCCTGGGCTGCCTTGTACCCCTTCCATCACTTCCACATTTCCATGTGAGGAGCAAAGAGCCTTTTCCAAGAGGCACAGAAGCACCTCACCCTCACCTAGAGTGTTCCCCTTATTCTGCCACTTAGGAGAATTACAGAGCTGCCTGTTGCATTCACTGGGCATAGCTAAAAGGTGCCCAACAGCACTCCAATTCCTAGGCATACCCCCCAGAGAAGTCACAAGCCCAGACAGTCACCTGGACAGGAATGCTCACAGTAGCCCTGTCACAGCTGTGAGAGGCAGAAATGACCTGATGTTCACCATCTGATGAATGTGTAAAGAAAATGTAGTCTAGCCACGCTCTGGAGTATTACTCAGCCATGGAAAGGTATGTGGGTGACCCTGGAAACCATCAGGCAGAGTGAACCACACCAGATGCCAAACACACCATGTGCACAAAGTGCGCGGTTCCGTTTGTGTTGCCCGGCTGGGTCCACCCACAGTGGATTTACCAATCAAGGGGTAGATTGGTGGTTGTCAAGCGAAGGCAGGAAGGAGTGGGAAGTGGGTATTACCGGGCAGGGTTTCCTTTTGAGGTGGTGACCTTCTGGAAGTAGATAGCCTGTAGTATTGGTTGTGTAGCATTGTGAATATGCTGAGTATGGTTGAATCACATGGAATCAGATGGTTATAAGGGACCCGAGAGATGGTTCTGCGGTTCAAGGTGCTTGCCACCAATCTGACAGCCTGAGTTCGATCCCTGGGTCACATGTGGTGGAAAGAGAGAACCAACTCCTACAAGTTGTCTTCTGACCTCCACACACATGCCACACACATGCAAATACACTAAATAAATAAATGCAGAGGGCTGGAGAGATGGCTCAGCGGTTAAGAGCACTGGCTGTTCTTGTAGAGGACCCAGGTTTGAGTCCCAGCACCCACATGGCAGCTAACAACTGTCCGTAACTCCAGTTCCAGGGGATCCGATGTCCCCTTCTGTCCTTCGCGGGCATTGCACGACACGGGTGCACTTACCTACATGCAGGCAATACACGGATACACATAAAATAAAAATAATGAATAAAATATAT